GTAGTCAGCATTTTTTTCCTAGGAATTGTTCATGTGTTCAGTACTTAATAAATTCTTACGGGTTTGAATGGGACTTACTGTGGTGGGATCTGAGCAGGTGATTAAACTTCTTAAGTGTTGTTTACATAAAGTGCATGAAGAGACAGATACTGCACGATTTTTCAAAATTCTGGCAGTAACAGGATTCAGAAATGTGTTTGAGTAGAAGAGGGGAGTAGATAAATATAAAGAATATATTTTTAACTTCCAAAGTAAGAACATTTAAAAAGCAAATATAATTGGCCACCACATGTGGGTTTTGCATCGTTTCCAGACCATCCTGCACATGACTGTCATATTAATTTTCTGAAAATGTGACTCTGGCCACCTGTTCTCGCTCCTAGAGAGGAGAAGGCCAGGGCCTTCTGTCTGCGCCTGGCAAGGCATGGTCTATGCCACCTCCCCATGGGCCACATCAACCCCTGGCCTCACCTTCCACCACTTCCCTGCCCTGGGGCTGTGGGTCCCTGCTGCCGCCTGAGGTTTCCTTGCAGTTGCACTCCTGAGTTCTTCCCTGGAAATGCTCTCTGCCTCACTGACTGTGAACAGACCCTGCCACGCCTTGAGGCCCAGCGTGTGTGCACCTCTCTCTCGAAAGCTTTCCCCACGCTGCCCTTCCATGCAAAGTGTGTCCTTCCCCGTCTGCCTCCTGGCACTTTCGTATCCTTATGACCCTCATGGATGCCATTGACTCCCTTTACTCTGCTCCCTCCTGTACTGACTAGCGTGGCCCTTTATATGTAGGCAGCTGGTGTGGGGCGCATGCTTTTCAGATTGATTTAACCTTGTAACATCATGGAGAGAAAGTGAGACACAGACAAGAAAACTGAGGGTGACTTTGAAGGAATTATTGTAAAAATCCAGGTGGAGGAATTCCTGTGATCCTCCAGTCCCTCTGGGAGCTTCATGACAGTGTTTGTGATCTGTGTACTCTATTCAGAAGGGCAGTCCTGTTGAAGGTAAATGTCAGGGAATTTCTGCCAGAAAGGGGAGATTTTCGGTATAATGATGCTCTGAAACCACTTGTGTCTGTGAGAAGTAAAATCAAAGCCATTTCTGCCATTTCTATTCATATCTTTAACATCATAAGTTTCTTCCTTAACTCTTTGGTTGTGATTAATTTAAGATGGGAATTTATATTCTCACCCACCCCCTTTTTAGTACAGGTTGAGCATCTCAAATCTGAAAATCTGAAATCTGAAATGCTCCAGATCAGAAGCTTTTTGAGCACAGACATGATGCTCAAAGGAAGTGCCCATCGGGGCATTTTGGATTTGGATCTTTGGATTTGAGATGCTTGACCAGTAAGTATAATGCAAATATTCCAAAATCCCAAAAAAAAAAAAAAAAAAATCTGAAATCTGAAGCGCAGCTGGTCCTAGGCATTTTGGAGACGGGGATGCCCAACTCATATGACCTTCCAGAGGAGTGACATCTATCAATCAAGCAAGAGTCATCCTGCAGTACCTTCCTTTATTATGGGGCCGACCACAGGGGCAGGCACTGCACTTCCTTTCTTAAAGCCTAGATTCTTATTACCCTCTGTGCCCCCTCCCTTTTTTTTAAGGTGGAGTGTCCCGATCTGTCGCCCAGGCTGGAGTGCAGTGACGACATTTTGGCTCACTGCAGCCTCTGCCTCCCAGGTTCTAATGATTTTCCCACCTTAGCCTCCCAACTAGCTGGATTTACAGGTGTGTGCTGCCATGCCTGGCTAATTTTTGTATTTTTAGTAGAGATGGGGTTTCGACACGTTGGTCAGACTGGTCTCAAATGCCTGGCATCAAGTGATCTGCCCATATTGGCCTCCCAAAGTGCTGGGATTACAGGTGTGAGCCATTGTGCCCAGCCTTATTACCCTATGTCCTATAGTTTCCTGTTCACATGCACTGTGAGCTATTGGATTTTTTTTTTTTTTTTTTTTTGAGACAGGGTCTTACTCTTGCCCAGCCTGGAGTGCAGTGGTACAGTCACAGGTCACTGCAGCCTGTACCTCCCAGGCTCAGGTGATCCTCCCATGTCAGCCCCCAGAGTAGCTGGAATTACAGCCTTGTACCACCACACCTGGCTAATTTCTATGTTTTTTTGTAGAGATTGGGTTTTGTCATGTTGCCTAGGCTGGTCTCAAACTCTTGGGCTCAAGTGATCTGCACGCCTGGGCCTCTGGATTGCTTAGGTTTTAACGTGAATTCTGCAGTGTCTTTAGTTTGGTAATCTTTGTAGATTGCTACAGAGTAAATTAAATTATTCATAAAGAATAATGTTGAATAACTTAATTATTCACAAGGAATCATATTGAAAGATCTCATGTGTTCTTTACTCCACTTCCCCCAGTGATAACATCTTGCAAAGCTGCCTGCACCATCACGATCAGAACATTGCCCTGCCCTGCGTGCGGTCAAGATGCAGCGCATTTCCCAGGCTCTCTCCTGTGGCCCTCTTGCAGCCACACCTGCTTCCCCCGTCCCCCCCTTCCTCAGCCCCTGACCACCACTCACCTGTTTTTGGTTCCTATACTTTTGTCTTTTCACGAATGTGACGCAAATGGAATCATACAGTATGTAAGGGCTGAGGCTTTTTTTTTTTTTTTTTTCTAGCTTAGCATAATTCTCCCACGATTCATCCAGTTCCTCACATGCATCAATAGTTCATTCCTTTTTTTGCTGAGAGCGTTCCGTGGTGTGGATGCACCACAGTTTGTTTAGCCTCGCGCACAAAGGACATCTCTGAGGAGTTTCCAGTTTTTGACTATTATGAGTAATGCTGCTATGAATGTTTATATGTAGGGTTTTGTGTGAACGCAAGCTTTCATTTCTCTGGGATAAATGCCCAGGAGTGCGGTTGTTGGGCTTAGGTTTTAAGAAGATACCTGTTTTCTAGAGGGGTTGCACCATTTTACATTCCTACCAGTGTTTTGTAAGGGATTCATTAATTTCACATCCTGACCAGCATTTGGTGGTGTCCCTGGTTTTTATTTTAGCCATTCTGATAGTTGTATGATGATACCTCTTTGTGATTTTAATTTGGATTTCCCTAATGGCCCCTTTCTCTAATGAACGCCTGTGCTTATTTGCCATCCGTGTGTCCTCTTGGGTGAGATGTCTGTTCCTGTCTCTTGCCCATTTTCTTTTTTTTTTTCTTTTTTTTTTTTTTTGAGACGGAGTTTCGCTCTTGTTACCCAGGCTGGAGTGCAATGGCGCGATCTCGGCTCACCGCAACCTCCGCCTCCTGGGTTCAGGCAATTCTCCTGCCTCAGCCTCCCGAGTAGCTGGGATTACAGGCATGTGCCACCATGCCCAGCTAATTTTTTGTATTGTTAGTAGAGACGGGGTTTCACCATGTTGACCAGGATGGTCTCGATCTCTTGACCTCGTGATCCACCCGCCTCGGCCTCCCAAAGTGCTGGGATTACAGGCTTGAGCCACCGCGCCCGGCCTCTTGCCCATTTTCTAATTGGACATTTTAAAACTCTCTGAGTTTTGTTTTATTTTTTTGATCATGGTAAAAGTACAGAAATTTATCACCTTAACCATTTTTTAAGTTTAATTGTGTGTCAAAAGACAAAATTACAACAAATTCAATGTAGGGATATTAATTGGCTTTTGTGATCCCAGAATCAGGCAACACCTCATTCTGTAGAATTCTGTAAAATAGAATGAGTGTTCTCATAAGCTGAGCAGAAGTAGTTGGCTTTGTAGACAGAAAAAGGGTGAGGAAAGCAGACACAGAGAACAGAGAGCAGATAGGTGGTTTCAGAGGGGGAGCTTCCTTATCACGCTGGCCCAAACTGGCCCATTTGGGGATTTGCTGTTCTCTCTCTCTCCTGATTTCTTCGAAAGTCAGATAAGCAGCTTACTTTTGGCTTGGTGGTGTGGAGCTTAGCAAGAGGGCCTCCATTTTGGTTTGGTCTGTTAGGCCTGGTGCAGGAGCTCAGTCCAAACCAGTGTTCTCCTGGTTCACTTTATTTATGTTAAGTTCTGAGAGTCTTCCATGTACTCTAGGCACTAGTCATTTGTCGGATATGTGGTTTGTAAATACTTCCTCCCATTTTGTAGTTTGTTTTTTCATCCTCCTGACAGGGTCTTTAGCTGAGCAAATGTTCTTAACATTGATGAACCCCCTTTTATCTGTTTATCCTCCTATGGATTGTGATTTGGGTGTCACCTCTAAGAACTCTGCCTAGCCCAGGATCCCAAAGATTTTCTATTTTTTTTTTCCTAAAAGTTTTAGTTTTATGTTTTTCATTTAAGTCCCTGACCCATTTTGAGTTAATTTTTATGTAAGGTGTGAGGTTTAGGTCAAGATTCATTGTTGTTACTATTACTGCTTTTGTGGATGTGTAATTGCTCCAGCAACCTGTTGAAAAGGCTAGCCTCCTCTCTTTCCCCCACTGCTTTTACATCTTTGTTGAAAATCAGTTGGGGTTCCCTGGCAAAGCTGCAGATATTTAAAAAAAAATCAGTTGGGTGTATTTGTTTGGGTCTATTTCTAGGTTCCATATTTTGCCCCATTGATCTGTGTATCAGTTACCCCTCTACTAATACTGGATGGTCTTGATGACCATAGTTATATAATAAGCCTTAATACCAAGGTGACTGATTCCTCCCAATTTATTCATCTTTTTCAAAATTGTTTTTCAGAGTTGTTCTAGATCCTTTGTCTTTCCATATAAATTTTAAAACAGTCTTGTCTAAAGCTACTAAAAAATCCTGCTGGGGTTTTGTGAGGAATGGTGTTAGTAATGGAGGGGGTTGAGATCATTACTAGGTTGAATCTTCCAATCAATCCATGGACATCGAGTGTCTTTTTCTTCTTTATTGAAAGCTTCAGATGTGAAGACAGACGGTTGAGGCCTGGCTGCTGCCGTGCACGGAGAGATGCTGTTCCAGGGAGAACATGCTCAGCGGCAGGATATCAGGTTGCGTCTTGGCTCACTTCTGCTTTGTTTGTTTTTAAATGTATAGGCCTATGAAAGGAGGTTCCCTACGTGTCCCTTGATTCCGATGTTCGTGGGCAGTGACACTGTGAATGAATTCAAGAGTGAAGATGGGGCCATTCACGTCATCGAAAGGCGCTGTAAGCTGGACGTGGACGCGCCCAGGCTGCTGAAGAAGGTAAAGCAGGGAAACGATGTCTTGGAGGGCGGGCCCCAAAGACAGCACGAACTTACCTACAGCTTCTGTGTAACTGGATATTATTAATAAATGCTTTTTCTCTTTATTTCTTTTTTTTTTAAAAGATCGCAGGAGTTGATTTTGTTTATTTTGTCCAGAAAAACTCACTGAATTCTCGGGAACGTACTTTGCACATCGAGGCTCATAATGAAACGTTTTCCAATCGGGTCATCATTAACGAGCATTGCTGCTACACTGTGAGTAACCTGTCATTTGGTGGAAGATGTTCCGCTGATGCAGGACTTCTGGGGATTGTTTGGTCACCATTTTAAACAGTGCTTCTTGTTGTCTTAGAGGGCAGTTCTTCATTAGATGTCGCTCACTTCTCCTGTGTAGGAGGGAAGGGTAGCAGGTATGGTCTCCTGCAGTGGATCACGTTGTTGTGGTAGTTAAGGCAGTCAAGTGATGCCTTGAGACAGAGTCTCTCTCTCTTGCCAGGCTGGAGTGCAGTGGCGCGATCTTGGTTCACTGCAACCTCTGCCTCCCAGGTTCAAGTGATTTTCCTGCCTTAGCCTCCAGAGTAGCTGGGATTACAGGCACGCACCACCACACCAGGCTAAATTTTTGTATTTTCAGTAGAGACAGGGTTTCACCATATTGGCCAGGCTGGTCTGGAACTCCTGACCTCATGTGATCCGCCCCTTGGCCTCCCATTGATTTGTTTTTAAATATTACTTTCTTTTTCTTTTCTTTCTTTCTTTTTTTTTTTTTTTTTTTGGAGACTGGGTTTCACTCATTGCCCAGGCTGGAGTGCAGTGGCACAATCTCAGCTTGCTACAACCTCCGCCTCCCAGGTTCAAATGATTCTCTTGCCTCAGCCTCCCAAGTAGCTGGGATTACAGGTGCTCGCCACCACGCCCAGCTCATTTTTATATTTTTAGTAGAGATAGAGTTTCACTGTGTTGGCCAGGCTGGTCTCAAGTGCTCTCCTGACCTCAAGTGATCCACCTGCCTCAGCCTCCCAAAGTGCTGGGATTAAAGGTGTGAGCCATCACACCTGGCCTTAAATATTACTTTCATATGCCACTTCTTTTCTAGTCTCACTGTAATACGTTAGAAATAATCTTCACTGCTTACCACCGTGTTTCAAGAACTTCTGTTATCAGATTTTTAGAACCCTCTCTTGCCAGATAGCTGTTTCTCCCTCCTCCCCTGCAGTGTATCCTCAACACTGAATCCAAAGTGATGTATTTAAACTGTCTCAGATCAAGTCACTTCTCTGGGCTCAAAACCGTGAAACATCTCCATAGTTGTCCCAGAGAGTCCTTATGGTGGCTTGCAGGGGCCTGAGTTCTCTCCTGATCATGCATCTCCTGTCCTTCTGGCTGTCATGCCGTGAGCCTTCCCCAGGGGCTTTGGCTCCAGGGTGCTCGCTGGGCCTCCCTACAACTCTAGTCTCACCTCCTCCCGTCTTGGCTCAGGCCTCCCCTTCTTTGCCAGCCCCAGCCACCCATTTAATTCTGCAGCCTGACACCCCAACCCCCAGTCTTTTTTTTTTCGTTTTTTCTTCGGAGATGGGATCTTGCTCTGTCACTTAGGCTGGAGTGCAGTGGCACAATCACAGTTCACTGCAGCCTCCACCTTCCAGGCCTAAGTGATCCTCCTGCTTCAGCCTCCCAAGTAGCTGGACCTATAGGCCCATGCTACCATGCCTGGCTAATTTTTACTTTTTTTTTTTTTTTTTTTTTGTAGAGATGAGGTCTTGCTCTGTTGCTCAGGCTACTCTCAAACTCCTGGACTCAAGCGATCCGCCCACGTTGACCTCCCAAAGTGTTGGGATTATAGGTGTGAACCACCACGCCTGACCCTCACCCCTGGTTCTGTTAACCTGCTCCAAGTTTTCTTTTCTCGGCAGCGCTTACTTATATTTAATTTTCTTACATACTGTGTTTATGGCTGATTGTCTCCTCTGTTAGACTGTTGAACGCTTCCAAGACCAGTACCTTTTTGTTCATAATGGAAGACTGTTCAGTGAGTATGTTGAATGAATGAATGAACCAAAAATGAAAATAGGCAGGGCATGGTGGCTCACGCCTGTAATCCCAGCACTTTGGGAGGCTGAGGCGGGTGGATCACGAGGTCAGGAGATCGAGACCATCCGGGCGCACATGGTGAAACTCCGTCTCTACTAAAAATATGAAGATTAGGTGGGCACTTGGGAGGCTGAGGCAGGAGAATCGCTCTGGGAGGCAGAGGTTGCAGTGAGCAAAGATTGTACCAATGCACTCCAGCCTGGCGACAGAGCGAGATTCCGTCTCAAAAAAAAAAAAGAAAAGAAAAGAAAAGGAAGCTCTCCTTTTACAGTCATCTTTGAAATGTTTTTGAACAATTACTTGGATCTCTTCACAGTTTACAGCGTAGCTTTGGTCCTGATTTTGAACATGATTTTGGCATTTTTTTCCGTCTGCTGTCTATATGGTAGTAACATTGTTAGTAAAGTAAGTGTTTCTTCTGGTTACTGGTTAAACTGAGGAGCAGACAAGTGACATTCTGTTGTCAGTACAGTCAGTGAGAGTGCTTTCTCTTTATCTGCAGGTTCACCCTGAAAATGAAGATTGGACCTGTTTTGAGCAGTCTGCAAGTTTAGATATTAAATCTTTCTTTGGTTTTGAAAGTACAGTGGAAAAAATTGCAATGAAACAATATACCAGCAACATTAAGAAAGTGAGTATATTTTGGGATTTTATGGCAGAGGGTGGGCAGGAGTCTCTGGGGTGACCTGTCTTTTTGGAAGGCTGGGGATTGGTTAGCGAGAGATATGCAGCATTTCTTGGGTGGAAGATGCTGTGATCCCTACCCCCGGCCTCATCTTTGGGTATAGGAGCTCAGGTTGTGCTGGCTGCTAATGGACGAAGGAGGTGCCTGTAGCTACAGCCGTGGCACTCTCTGCTTGGGATTGCTGAGAGAGGTGGAGACTGGGGAGAGGCAGCAGCAGCTGGCGTACAGCGCCCAGGCCTTGCTGCAGGGTCGGGAGGAGGCCTGGGTCCTGGGGAGAGGCTTGCCGGGCAGGCTGCCCCCCTTGGATTATTAGTTCTTCCACGAAGACCTTCCCTTCTGGTTTTTGTGCTGTTGCTCATCCATTGTTGCGGAATTGTGGTTTTGAAATGTATCAGTGTGGGATTATGGAGTGGTTTTTGAAGGCTCATTTTCAGGGAACTGCATTGGAAAGAATTTGAATTGAGACATAAATCATATACTGAGTACAAGTACCATAAATCAGCATTTAAAAATAGTCATATAAAAATTCCATCTCTTTAGGTATTATTTCCTAAACCTTGGAAAAGAGTAGGTAAAAACACAAAAGCATTTGGCTGTATTTTCCTGTTTATTTTGTAGCAATTCAGTTTTATTGGTGTTTTAAAAGCTTGTGAGGGACTGGGCGCAATGGCTCATGCCTGTAATCCCAGTACTTTGGGAGGCTGAGGTGGGCAAATGCTTGAGTCCAAGAGTTCAAGACCAGCCTGGGCAACATTGCGAAACCCCGTCTTTACAAAGAATACAAAAATTAGCCGGGTTTGGTGGCACATGCCTATAGTCTCAGCTACTGGGGAGGCTGAGGTAGGAGGGTGGCTTGAGTCCAGGAGGTTGAGTGTACAGTGAGCTGTGATCATGCCACTGCACTCCAGCCTGGGCTGCAAAGCAAGACCCTGTCTCAATAAAAAAGCTTGTGAGGTTCACCATCTTCTGTTGGCTAGAAAAAAAGAGAAATCTTGGGAGGGCTGAATAATTTGAATGTTGAATATATACTCACCTTTAAACTGGTTTTGTTGTAAAGGGAAAGGAAATCATTGAATACTACCTTCGCCAGTTGGAAGAAGAGGGCATAACCTTTGTGCCCCGTTGGACTCCACCTTCCATCACGCCCTCTGCAGAGACATCTTCATCCTCCTGCAAGAAACAAGCAGCGTCCATGGCCGTCGTCATCCCAGATGCTGCCCTCAAGGAGGGGCTAAGTGGCGATGCCCTCAGCAGCCCCAGCGCACCTGAGCCCGTGGTGGGCACCCCTGATGGTGGGTCTGGCAGGGCTTCATCCTGAGAGCAAGGCTGGGGAAATCTGCGTTGCCATTTTCTCTCTGTTTGCTTTGCCCATTCCTTGGGACATTAGGTAACTCATAAAGAAAAGACCTGTCTCTCGTTTCTGGCCCTTGTCCTCTAGCTTTTATAACACATTCATTTTACTTTTTATTAGAGTTTTTGTTAATAGGGAAAAGGGGTTATGTCAAATTATTATTTTATTGATACCAGAAGGTGTTTGTTAGTTTAAGAGAGGAGGTCTCACTGTGTTGCTCAGGATGATTTTGAACTCTTGGGCTCAAGCAGTCCTTCCACCTCGGCCTCCCACAGTGCTGAGATTATAGGCATGAGCCACCATGCCCGACCTAAGGAAGGTGTTTTTCTTTTTTCTTTTTTTTTTTTTTTGAGATGGAGTCTTGCTCTGTTACCCAGGCTAGAGTGCAGTGTGCAATCTTGGCTCACTGAAACCTCTGCCTTCCAGGTTCAACTGATTCTCCTGCCTCAGCCTCCCAAGTCGCTGGGACTCCAGGCATGTGCCACCACGTCTAGCTAATTTTTTGTATTTTTAGTAGAGATGGGGTTTCACCATGTTGGCCAGGCTTGTCTTGAACTCCTGACCTTGCGATCCACCCACCTTGGCCTCTCAGAGTGCTGGGATTACAGGCATGAGCCACCATGCCCAGCCCACACCTGGCTAATTTTAAAAATTTTTTGTAGAGATGGTCTCACTATGTAGCCCAAGCTGGGTGTTTATTTTTCTGTACATTTTTCTCTACAGCCAAACTGTGCCATTTGTGGGATTTCAACAAGTGATGGGGGTGGGCAGATGGTTTGGGGATGTATTTTATTTTTTAACTTGGGAATTTTTGTTATACTTACTTTGCTGTCTCATTCGTCTAGTTTATTTTACCTTATCAGGAAAAAAGTTTCTTCTTCTTCTTCTTCTTCTTATTATTTTTTTTTGAGACGGAGTTTCACTCTTGTTACCCAGACTGGAGTGTAATGGCGCGATCTCGGCTCACCGCAACCTCCGTCTCCCGGGTTCAGGCAATTCTCCTGCCCCAACCTCCCGAGTAGCTGGGATTATAGGCACGCGCCACCATGCCCAGCTAATGTTTTGTATTTTTAGTAGAGACAGGGTTTCACCATGTTGACCAGGATGGTCTCGATCTCTTGACCTCGTGATCCACCCGCCTCGGCCTCCCAAAGTGCTGGGATTACAGGCTTGAGCCACCGTGCCTAGCGTTTCTTATATTATTATTATTTTTTTTTTTTGAGGCAGAGTTTCACTCTGCCCAGGCTGGAGTACAGTGGTGCCATCTTGGCTCACTGCAGCCTCCGCCTCCTGAGTTCAAGTGATTCTCCTGCCTCAGCCTCCTGAATAGCTGGGATTACAGATATGTGCCACCACACCTGGCTAATTTTTGTATTCCTAGTAGAGACTGTTTCACCATGTTGGCCAGGCTGGTCTTGAACTCCTGACGTTAGGTGATCTGCCTGCCTCAGCCTCCTGAGTAGTTGGGATTACTGGCGTGAGCCACCAGATTTCTTACATTCTTGAACACAGTAGCCCTATTCAAAATAGATTTAGATTTGCTTATTTTTTTGTTTTTTCTTAAATTTTATGTCTTGTAAGTTCTTTTTGTGTTATGTTTCTCTTAGAATTAAAACAGTCATTAATATCTGTTATAGCCATGAGTAGTATTGTGATTTGGCAATAGAGGTAACTCAGCGGTAACCAGGGAAAGATGAGTGAGTTAGAAAGTTTACCTGTGGTTTAGTCAGTGACTTCTCTCAAAGCCTGTCCCTGAAGTCCGCTAGGGACCTGGTTTACATCTGCCATCTCTGTGGTTTCATTTGCCTCTAGACTCTACGGCCACTCATTAACTCCACTGAGCAGAAGGACTTTGGGAGCCTAAAGCGTCAGTGTTCTTTGTTGTAAATCAGTGTCGCTTACATTCCAGACAAACTAGATGCCGACTACATCAAGAGATACTTGGGCGATTTGACTCCGCTTCAGGAGAGCTGCCTCATTAGACTTCGCCAGTGGCTCCAGGAGACCCACAAGGGCAAAGTGAGTGTTGGCTCCACGCCCAGCGTGCAGGGCCAGGGCTACGTGAAATCGGGGAATCTCTTTCTGCCCATAGTCACCCGGCTTCCACAGCCATTGTTTCTTCCAGTCTAGAAGTCACTGAATGTGTATCTCTGTGGAATCTGCGTCCTTCAGCTAGTGATCACGCAGGATTAACTGCATGTGTTTAGACTTTACAGAGCAAGGTCTGGCTTACAGACAGTGTCAAGTTACAAAGCAACATTGTGTTCCAAATATTCATACATTCAGATTTTCGGAAGCTGTAAAAAGAGTTCAGAGATTTATCAGAGATGAGAGAAGTTTGAGCTTTAATTTTCAGGATCTTAGTGAAATTTCAGCCTCATAAGGGTGTAGATTTTTATAAGCCTTATGTAGTGAGCAGAGCCTGGTGTGAATTTAGCGGGTTGTTGACATCATCTAGTAACGGGAAACTAGGCCTTGCATGTAGTTGGCCTAATCTCTAATTCTGTCAGTCTGGTTACTCGAGACCAAATCACTGAGTACTGTTTAACACCAGTCATCGAGAAAACACTGCAGTCAGATGGCTGCCATTTGCTGTATACTGACCATTATTAGACACTTGTTTTAAGGTCTTTATTCAGTCCTGTCAGCAGCTCTCTCTGGTGCTGTTTTTCTCCCTGGTTTTACATGTGAGAAAACTGGGGCACAGAGAAGTGAACTAACTTGCCTGAGGTCTCACAGCTGGCGAGTGGTGGGGTCAGGATTTGAACCCAGGCCATTTTGTTTAGGAAGCTACATTCTTAACCACGATCACATAACCAGTCTCTTCTGAGTGAAGATGACGCCACGTCAGTAGGCCACATGCTTTTGAGTTATTTCCCAGGAGCTGGGGTTGTGAGTAGCTCATGCTCCCACTCCCTCCTTATTCTCCTCATGGACCAGCCTCTGAGTTGGTAAGCACATGGCCACGGAGGAAGACACCTAGTCCATGTCACACTCAGAACACTGCCTTGGCCTTGTTCTTTATTCAGGGAAGCCGGCCTGTTGATTGACAGTGTTGGAATCTGAAGATTCCCATGTTAGTTAGCAACACCGCCACATTACGAAAGCCTAACATGCTTTTTTGTATTCTTTTTCTTTAATCTGTGATTTTTGTTTTTAATTATCTTAAGTCTTATGGTCACTCATAATTTTTAACTTTGTGTATATCTCCTCTAATCTTTCTAATGAGTTGGCAAAAGCAACATTACCAATCACATAGACACATGGTAGTTCTACAGTTTTATGTTTTAGAATTTTTCTTTTTATACAGAGTCGCTCTGTCACCCAGGCTGGAGTGCAGTGGTGCAGTCTTGACGCACTGCAACATCTGCCTCCCGGTTTCAGGCTATTTTCCTGCCTCAGCCTCTGGAGAGCTGGGATTAGCTCTGCCACCATTTCTGGCTGATTTTTGTATTTTTAGTAGAGAACAGGGTTCCACCATGTTGGCCAAGCTGGTCTCGAACTCCTGACCTCAAGTAATTCTCCTACCTTAGCCTCCCAAAATGCTGAGATTACAGGTGGCTAAATTATAACTTAGTCTAACTTAAGTAGTAAAGAATTCAGAAGTAAAGTTTAACTTGCTACATTTCTTGTCATACTGACTTTTTTTTTTTTTTTGAGGTGGAGTCTCGCTCTT